TGCACTTGGTGATGCAAAGCTTGGATGCAGCTGTTCGCCCATGGAAACCCATTCCATGAAGCTCTCTACGCACAGCTGTGCTAATCTGACAGCCACACAAAGTTTGGAGGTCTTTAGGTACTGACTCTGCAGACAGTTGACTTCTGCGCACTGCTCACTTCAGCATGCGCTGACTCTGCTCTGTCATTTTATGTGGCCTACCACATCGTGGCTGGGTTGCTGTTGTTCCCAGTTGCCTCCACTTTGTTATAATACCACTAACAGTTGACTGTGGAATATTTAGTAGCAAGGAAATTTCATGGATAAACTTACTGCACAGGTGGCAACCTATCATGTTACCACGCTTGAATTCACTGCGCTCCTGAGAACGACCCATTCTTTCACAAAATGTTTGTAGAAGCAGTCTGCATGCCTAGGTGCTTGATCTTATAACTTGTGGCCATGGAGGTGATTGGAACACTTGAATCCAATTATTTGGAGGGGTGTCCGAATACTTTTGACTTGTGTCAATATAATAGTATATATATATATATATATATATGTACGAACTATTGCTACAAAGCACATTTTGAATCCATCGCAGTGCTGACAGATCCATCGCTATTGTGAGTGTTTGCATTTGATACCAGCTGACCCCTCCCCCTGCTTTTGTGAACAATGGAGTTTGTCTCCACTCCAGCATGCTCCTACTAAGCATTCACACCTAAATAAGAAATAAAAATTCATCTTGTGGTTGGACAGCTTACAACTCCTCTCTTTCCCCCATCATTGCTGCCTGAGCATGCTGTTCACAAAGAGATGTAAATTTAATCAGGTGTAATTGTGCTAGTCACTGGCAGTAGGCACATGCTAGAGACAAACACAGTCATTCGTCATTCACAAAAGCAAGAAGGGTCTGCTGGTACCACAACGGAAGCTGTATGATCAGTCAGCTGTGTGATACATCAGTAAGCAGATAAACCACACAGCTCACCAGTGGTGACAGATCCACCTCTACTGACATGCAGCAATAAGGTACTATGGATGAAGGCTTTCCGTGATCCAACTACCAGTAAACATTAAGGGACTTCCAGGCAACTCTATGGACATGTGTAGCAGGTGACGTGAAAAAAAAAAAAAAAAAAAAAAAAAAAGGTAAAACAGTAATGGAAGCAGAAGGTGGGTACCCTGAAGTAACACTCAGAGCTTATCTGAGCAAGCATCTCATTGGTTGCAGCTATGTTTGCAAGCTGTCGAATCACTGTCACAGTCCATTGAGTTAGCTAGAAGTGCCTGTTTCCCATGTCAGGAAGCGGTGTGCACTAATGTCACCTTCATGTGAATGGCACAATGATTCTTCAATGATGCCATTGACACTGTGGGGTTGATTTACTAAAACTGGAGAGTGCAAAATCTGGTGCAGCTCTGCAGAGAAATTAGCTTTCAGGTTTCTTTTTGTCAAAACTTAACTGAACATGATGAAATTAGAAACTGATGGGCTACCATGCACAGATGCACCGGATTTTGCACTTCCCAGTTTTAGTAAATAACCCCAAAATGTTTATCTGTTTTCAGGTGCAGTCAGTTTAGCTGTGCTTAGAGAAAATAGAATTCCGTGTATCCAGGATTCCATTTGAAGCTCTAAACATGGGTAGAAGCAGGAACATCTAAAACACAGGGAAAAAAATGAGATCTGGGAGACATTATAAGTTTCTTCTACTTCCCAGATCACATCTCCAGCATTTAGAAAAGCTAAACACAGGAATGTCAGTGTGAATGAGGCCTAAGAAAAAAAACTCTAAAAAAAACTCTAAAAAAAAAAAAAAATTATTACATCCCCCATGTAAAAACATCAAGCAAGTTTTGTAAAGGTGCCACTTTGCATAAAGCTTTAGTCATATTTAAATATGGTGACTGTGGAGGCCATGGAAAAAATTTAATCTTATCGTAGAAGCCATTAAAGCACTTTTGAATTTGTTTAGAAGTGTATATCAGGGCTTTATCACACTGCAATAAGGGAACGCCATCTTCAGAAAACCGTGTTTGCAGCTGCTTCAGTAAAATTTCTTGACCAACAATGCAGAGTAGTCATCAGACCCTATAATTCCCCAAGATCACTTGAAGGATACACACCCATTCCTTTAAGGATACACAACCATATTTAAATAGGTAACAATAGAGTTTGAAGTATCTCTTTGTGTGGTCAAAATGTAAGCTATTCCAAAGTGAAAAATCTGGTGAAAGATAAAACTTATCAGGCCATATATTTTTTCCATATTTTTCAGGGGTCCAGGTTTTGTCCTCCCTACAGCAGGCTTTGCATCTTTGCTTACTGGCCTTGAATACAAGTGGTTCTCAAACTGAATAGATATTTTAGAGGTTGCATTTTGGTATCCTGATACGTTTCCATCTATCTTTGTTGAGTAGCAATCTGTTTATGCTTGGTATATGGCACCAATATTTTTTAAACTTTTCCCCCACAGTTTTTGTTCCTGTAATTCAGACACCAGATAACTAGTCGGTACAGAGCTATATACAGTAAGTACAGGTGAAACTCGAAAAAATTAGAATATCGTGCAGACATGGCTCCCCAAATCAACACAGACTGTGGAAACTTCACACTGGACTTCAAGCATCTTGCAGTGTGTGCCTCTCCATTCTTCCTCCATACTCTGGGTCCTTGGTTTCCAAATGAGATGCAAAAGTTGCTCTCATCAGAAAAGAGGACTTTAGACCACTGAGCAGCAGACCAGGTCTGTTTTTCTTTAGCCCAGGTAAGACGCTTCTGACGTTGTTTGTTGTTCAGGAGCGGCTTGACAAGAGGAATACGACATTTGAAGCCCATGTCCAGGATCCGTCTGTGTGTGGTGGCTCTTGATGCACTGACTCCAGCCTCAGTCCACTCCTTGTGAAAGTCCCCAACACTTTTGAATGGCCTTTTCCTGACAATCCTCTCCAGGCTGCGGTCATCCCTGCTGCTTGTGCACCTTTTTCTTCCACACTTTTCCCTTCCACATAACTTTCTATTAATGTGCTTTGATACAGCACTTTGGTAACATCCAACTTATATGGCACCTTTTCACAATATTCTAATTTTCTGAGATTGTGGATTTGGGGTTTTCATGAGCTGTAAACCATAATCATCACAATTATGACAAATCACAGCTTGAACTATCTTGCTTTGCATGTAATGAGTCTATCTCATATATTAGTTTAACCTTTTAGGTTGCATTACTGAAATAAATGAACTTTTGCACGATATTCTAATTTTTTGAGTTTCACCTGTATATTTAAACGCAAACTTTTTTTCATTTTGGATAAGTAAGAAAGTGTTAAAACTCATCACTTTATTACCACCTGTGTCCTATTGGGAAGATTTCTTTTCATTTCCAGTCCCCCTAAAGAATATATAAAACCAACATTTCATACTCCTGATTAGTGATGGGCCGAATACCCGGTCGAACATTTGAACCGAATGAAAGTTCGACGGTGCACTTCGAACTGGGACAATTCACTAAGCGGCATCTTACCGCAATCCGAGTATGCGGTAAGATACTGCACAGCTACTAAAACACCGCATGAGTTATATTATTAAGTCATGCGGTATTTTAGTAGTGAAAACATTGTTTAACATTTCAGCTGTCAGCGGGATTCCACGCTAACAGCTGAATGTAAAAAGAATTGCTGGCAATAAAAAAAAATAACAGAAAAACGACGCGGGGTTCCCACACCATTTGTTTTTCAATTTAAAGGGCATGGGGTACCCCCAAAATCCATACAGGTCAGGAAGGATTTTGGGGGGAAGGGGCATGTTGATGGGGACAAGGGCCTCTTCCCCACAACAGTGGCTAGTGGTCGTGGGAGTCTGGGGGGAGGGGTCTTATTGGAATCTGGAAGCCCCCTTTAACAAAGGAGCCCCCAGATCCTGCCACCCCCCATGTGATTGAGTATGGAGTACATGGTACCGCTACTCATTCACCCACACAAAATATTGTAGTGTAAAAAAATTACAGAAGGCAGTCTTTGACAAGTCCTTTATCAAACTTACGTTTGACTCGAACATCAAACTTAACTCTACTCCTGATGTGTGCCTGCTGTAGCATTTACATGAAATGAACGTATGAAAAAGTATCTTGTTCTATTTGTATTACTTTTGTGTGAAATCCCCGATGTTCCTGCCAGTCACTCTGCTTACCTAATAAAAATGGACTACTTTAGGCAGGAGAGCACAGTGTGGTCAGTTCTCAAGCTATGCTCCTCTCCCCCGCACAGCACAGCCTTCCACTGTGAAGTTCAGTGTGCTGCTGCTTCTCCTCACCCAGCTACTTATGCAGGGAATTTTTTTTTTTTAATATCTATACACAAATGTTTTGCCTTTCATTTCTAGTTTAAACTGTATGGGTTGTTTTATAATCACTTAAAACACAATGTGAAGCAAGAAACAAAAACACAAAATAAGGAATTACATTCTTAGACAACCATCACTGGAACAAGTGTCTCCATTACATGATTTCTCCTATCTTCCTGCTCAGGTGACAAGTCAAAATTTGGATTCTCTATCAATGAGGATTTAACCAATGGGAACATAGTCTGCAATAATAACGTGATGGAGGTTTCAATTGGTCTGCAAATTACACCAGAATGCACAAAAAGTAGTGCATATACTATTTTTGAAAAACGCACCGCACCAAATTGCATGGTACTGCGGTATTATACGATCTGGTACCCGCAAATCCACTGTTTCTGATCTGTATTTGGGTTGCCGTTCGAATTCGCACCTGCAGTAGATCACAAAGGAAGTGCATTTTGAAAGTGGAGCTGGAAATGCACAAGGAACAAGCCTTTCCCACACTACATTTTGGTGTGAACCAGAAACACTGTACAATGTACAAAAATGAAAGCAATTATTTTGCTAAAGCTGTAAATAAACACAGACACATATGGTTGCCTGTCAGAAAGTTATGTTAAAACAAAATACATAGTGTTAAAATGCATTAAAAAGTCCATTCCAAAAACATTACCTTCATATAGTTGACAATCTTTGCTAGGACCCCAAACTTGAAGTTAGATGTCCCAGACAGGGGTTTGACGCTATATGAACCATTGCTGCCATCTGCCAAAGAAGCACTAAGGTTAGTCACTATAAATATATTTTTATACATCACTGTCTTAACTATAACTAATTATCTGCCATTTTATATACACAAATATATTGTAATGTCTACAGAGTAAGCACAATATGTAACAGCCTGTATCTGTATATGTTGAAAATTAAATAGGAAAAGAAAAATAAAAGTAAGTGAGGGCATTTCAAAATTCTACATTAAGAAAACAAAAAATAGAAAGCAAATGCTGCTTTCAAAATTTGAGCATTTCTTGCAATAAATTGAGCTGTGAAGGAATAATAACAGCCTCAGGCAAAAGAAGGCCATTATTGCACAGGCAGATCTCCCAACTCATTGCAATTCTTTTTGTGTTTGGCTTGTTGCCTTTCTTTACTATGGAGAATAACTGTGCAAAAAAAAAAAAAAAAAATGGATTTTTTCTACATACTTACCTGTAAAATCCATTTCTTGGAGTACATCACAGGACACAGAGCAGGCTATTCATGATTATGTGGGTTATAGGCCACCTATAGGTGAACAGACACTGGCCGACCAATCAGAGTGGAGGGCCTTCCCTATATAACCACTCCTATACAGGAAGCACCTCAGTTTTTGTAGCACGCAATGACATTCCAGAAAGGGGGGTGGGACCTCTGTGTCCCCATGATGTACTTCAAGAAATAGATTTTACAGGTAAGTATGTAGAAAAAAATCCAATTTTCTTTATCGTACATCACAGGACACAGAGCGGGCTATTCATGACATGTGGGATGTCCCACAGCAATATGTAATGTAAGGGGAGAGTGACACCATAACAGCCACCGTCAATAGTCCCTCAGAACTTACTCAGCGGTCCGTAAAACACTACGGCCAAAAGGCAGAATCCTGCAGCTCTGACATCCACCTGGTAGAATCTTGTGAATGTGTGAACCAAAGACCATGTAGCGGCCTTGCAAACCTGAGCCACTGATGCCCGATGGCGGATTGCTCAAGATGCCCCCACACTCCTGGTGGAGTGTGCCTTCAACCGAAAGAGTGACACTTTACCTTTTAAACCATACACTTGAATGATCAATTAATCAATCAAGACAGCACTCCTCAATCATAATATACAGTCATGGCCGAAATTGTTGGCACCCTTGATATTTCTCCAGGAAATCATGTATTTCTCACGAAACGTTTGCATTAACACATGTTTTGCTATACACATGTTTATTCCCTTTGTGTGTATTGGGACAAAACAAAAAAAGGGAGGAAAGAAAGCAAATTCGACATAATGTCACACAAACCTCCAAAAATGGGCTGGACAAAAGTATTGGCACCCTTTCACAACTGCGGATAAATAAGAATGTTACAAGCATGTGATGCTCCTGTAAACTCACCTGGGGCAAGTAACAGGTGTGGGCAATATAGAAATCACACCTGAAAGCAGATAAAAAGGAGAGACGTTCACTTAACCTTTGCATTGTGTGTCTGTCTGTGCCACACTAAGCATGGACAACAGAAAGAGGAGACGAGAACTGTCTGAGGACCTGAGAACCAAAATTGTGGCAAAATATCAACAATCTCAAGGTTACAAGTCCATCTCCAGAGAACTAGATTTGCCTTTGTCCACAGTGCGCAACATTATCAAGAAGTTTGCAACCCATGGCACTGTAGCTAATCTCCCTGGTCGTGGACGGATGAGGAAAATTGATGAAAATTGCAACGCAGAATAGTCCGGATGGTGGATAAGCAGCCCCAAACATGTTCCAAAGACATTCAAGCTGTCCTGCAGGCTCAGGGAGCATCAGTGTCAGCGCGAACTATCCGTCGACATTTAAATGAAATGAAACGCTATGGCAGGAGACCCAGGAGGACCCCACTGCTGACACAGAGACATAAAAAAGCAAGACTACAGTTTGCCAAAATGTACTTGAGTAAGCCAAAAGCCTTCTGGGAAAACGTCTTGTGGACAGATGAGACCAAGATAGAGCTTTTCGGTAAAGCACATCATTCTACTGTTTACCGAAAACGGAATGAGGCCTACAAAGAACAAAACACAGTACCTACGGTAAAATATGGTGGAGGTTCAATGATGTTTTTGGGTTGTTTTGCTGCCTCTGGCACTGGGTGCCTTGACTGTGTGCAAGGCATCATGAAATCTGAGGATTACCAAAGGATTTTGGGTCGCACTGTAGGGCCCAGTGTCAGAAAAGCTGGGTTTGCGTCCAAGATCCTGGGTCTTCCAGCAGGACAATGACCCCAAACATACGTCAAAAAGCACTCAGAAATGGATGGCAAAGAAGCGCTGGAGAGTTCTGAAGTGGCCAGCAATGAGCCCAGATCTAAATCCCATTGAACACCTGTGGAGAGATCTTAAAATTGCTGTTGGGAAAAGGTGTGTCCTTCCAATAAGAGAGACCTGGAGCTGTTTTGCAAAGGAAGAGTGGTCCAAAATTCCGGGTGAGAGGTGTCAGAAGCTTATTGATGGTTATAGGAAGCGACTGATTTCAGTTATGTTTTCCAAAGGGTGTGCAACCAAATATTAAGTTAAGGGTGCCAATACTTTTGTCCAGCCCATTTTTGGGGTTTTGTGTGACATTATGTCATATTTGCTTTTCTGCCTCTGTTTTATATTTGTTCCAATACATACAAAGGGAATAAACATGTGTATAGCAAAACATGTGTTAATGCAATACCTTTTTTTGTGTGAAATACTTGATTTTCAGGAAAAATATCAAGGGTGCCAACAATTTCGGCCATGACTGTACCTCCTAATATGTGAATCAAACACATATGTATTAGTGCAATATAATTGAATAGAATAGTGCACAAAACAATACCTGGATGGTTTTACGCTATGTGGATTCCTCTTTCTTTATGATCCCATTTTTGATTATTATTTTTATGAACACTATTATTTTTATGGACATTTTCTTTGGACATTGATTTGTGTATTCACAGAGCTTAGTAGTCACGTTCTTTTGCATGGTATTGTTTTGCATAGTATTATTCAGTGCACTATTCTATTCAATTGTATATTGATACATATGTGTTTGGTTCATATATCGAGAGGTATAGTATGATTGAGGAGCGCTGTCTTGATTGATTAATTGTTTTATATTGCACCTTGTCCTCAAGGATGAGATACAGTTGCAAGAAAAAGTATGTGAACCCCTTGGGATTACGTGGAGTTTTGCATGAATTGGGCATAAAATGTGCTCTGAACATCATCTAAATCACAACAATAGAAGAACACAGCCTGCTGAACATAATACAACACAAACATTAGATGTTGCCCATGGTTTAATTGCACATAACATGTAAACATTCACAGTGCAGGAGGAAAAAGTATGTGAACCTTTGGACTTAATAACTGGTTGACCATCCTTTGGCAGCAATAACCTCAACAAAACGTTTCCTGTAGTTGCAGATCAGACCTGCACAACGATCTGGAGTAATTTTGGACCACTCCTCTTCACAAAACTGTTTCAGTGTAGCAATATTCTTGGGATGTCTGGTGTGAATCGCTCTCTTAAGTCATGCCACAGCATTTCAATCGGGTTGAGGTGAGGACTCTGACTGGGCCACTCCAGAAGGCGTATTCTGTGCTGTTGCAGCCATTGTTTTGTTGAATTACTTGTATGCTTTGGGTCATTGTCCTGTTTGCATCACCCATCCTCTGCGGAGCTTCAGTTGGCGGACAGATGGTCGTACGTTTTCCTGCAAAATGTCTTGATAAACTCTGGAATTCATTTTCCCATCAATGACAACAATCCATCCAGGCCCTGAGGCAGCAAAGCAGCCCCAAACCATGATGCTCCCTCCGCCATGTTTTACAGTGGGGATGAGGCTTTGATGTTGGTGTGCTGTGCCTTTTTTCTCCACACATACTGTTGTGTGTTCTTCCCAAACAACTCAATCTTGGTTTCATCTGTTCACAGTATATTTTGCCAGTAGTGCTGTGGAACATCCAGGTGCTCTTTTGCAAACTTCAAACGTGCTGCAATATTCTTTTTGGACAGCAATGGCTTCCTCCGTGGTGTCCTCCCATGTACTCCATTCTTGTTTAATGTTTTCCTTATTGTAGATGTGTCAACAAAAATGTTAGCATGTGCCGGAGATTTCTGTAGGTCTTTAGCTAGCACTCTGGGATTCTTCTTTACCTCATGCAGCATTCTGCGCTGTGCTCTTGCAGTGATTTTTACAGGACGACCACGCCTAGGGAGAGTAGCAACAGTGCTAAACTTTCTCCATTTGTAGACAGTCTGTATTACCGTGGATACATGAACACCAAGGCTTTTGGGGGTACTTTTGTAACCCTTTCCAGCTTCATGCAAGTCAACAATTCTTGATCGTAGGTCTTCTGAGAGCTCTTTTTTGCGAGGCATGGTTCACATCAGACAGTGCTTCTTGAAACCAGTAAACCAAAAACAGGTGTGTGTTTTTTAAGGGCAGGACAGCTGTCAGCAACACATCCAATATCATCACACTGATTGGAGTCAAGGTTTGCTCACTCCTGGCTCCAATTAGCTCTGGGAGAAGTCATTAAGCTAGGGCCTCACATACTTTTTCCTCCCTGCACTGTGAATGTTTACATATTATGTGCAATTAAACCATGGCAACATCTAAAGTTTGTGTAGTATTATGTTCAGCAGACTGTGTTCTTCTATTATTGTGACTTAGATGACGTTCAGAGCACATTTTGTGCCCAATTCATGCAAAACTCCACGTAATCCCAAGGGGTTCACATACTTTTTCTTGCAACTGTAGCTGCTCTTTCCAATATATCTTTCCATATAATTTTTCCTGAAATTGTTTCCAGTGGCGCTGTCCATATTTTGAATGATTAATTGGTGTATCCAATGAGAAACAAACAGTCGCCTTGGATGACAACTGCCCCTTCCTATGTCCCTCTGGCAGCACAAATAGAGCATCTGACCTCCTGACCTGTGCTGTCGCTTTCAAGAAGACCCTTACAGCACAAACCACATCCAAGGTATGCAGAGATCTTTCTCTTGTTAAATGAGGCCTAGGAAAGAATGAAGGCAGAACTATGTCCTGATTGAGATGAA